TCATAACAGCGGGGCACTACTAGTTGCACTTCACAAGGCAACAAATCACATCGCACATGATGTGATCAATCGTGCACGAACGCATCGTACATCAACTCGTTGTCCGTCGCCATTATGGGATAGCGATGACACTGCGTCTGACTCTTCTGATGGGAGGCTCACGCAACATGGTTTCGATTGCATGCGCAGGCAATATTCGGACTCTATTGGTAGAAAGATGCGCGTTAGATTTGATTGTTTTAAGGCTGAGAAGTTGAAGGAGGCTTTAGCCTCCTTCAACTAAATATTGCTGCCATTAGCTACCACTGGCAACAATAATTTAATCTACCCTCATTGCAGAGGCAGAAGATCGGGCCGTGGGCTCATGCAGGCAGTCTGTACCCGTTTTTCGGGCAAGGCTGAGTGTCGCGGTCTGTAATCTTACTTTTCCGATTGTACGATGCCCGGGTTATATGGCAGTTTTGCGTGGTCTCCTAAACGTTGTATTATCGGGGTTCCACTTGTTGATTCTCTCAACGCATGTTGGACTTCAGCGCTCAATTACTTGGTGTCATTGGCGAATTTGCCGTTAGGGAACGACAAACGCGCTATTGGTGAACGTAATGATCATTAAAATGAATATGATTGCTTAAAAAATGCACATAAGACCAAAAAACACAAGTGACTGGAAAATTTTGCAAGCAACTTGGCTAAAAAAGAAGCCAAAATGCACTTGTTTATCATAAGCAGAACTGGCTACTTTGTGCTGAAGCAACTGTGTATTGGTGCAGCCAATGTACATAAGCAAAAAATGTTGCTGAAAACCTGTCTCTACTTGTTACTTATTTGGTTGAGAAAAACTTGTGGGAATTTTGGCCCCTCCTGAATTTCGGTGTCAAGGGTCTGAGCAGATCATTGAACAGATCATTGAACAACTGCTTTTCATGGCACATGCCCAGAAAAATTCTGCTGCATATCAGTGCGCATGTGTTTTCTGGACAATGTAGAGCATTATAATTGAGAGCTGAACATTAGGTTTGAGTCTTATAATGTGTGATTAATTGGTGTGAGCACTGGTGCAATTAGTGCTTTAGTGCAGATGGGATCGCATAGTGGTGTGGTCATTAAAGGGCCACTAAACAGGCTCCAACCTTTTTTACATCCCGCAAACAAGCTCGCCAACTGGTACAGTATACCGTGGCGATCATATTTTCTGAATATTACTCCGCTGCACAGATTCTTCATTTCAATAAACAATTTTCGGGCCTGTTTCCTTTGCCTGACCAAACCTCCTTGTACAAGCACAGTGATGAAAGCTTGCCCACGGGCAACATTACATACCACTGAGCTCGTTGATTGGTCCTTTGCCCTACGAAATGGCTGATAAAACAGGTGACATATCGTTGACATCATGTCACGTTGCTGTAGTGGGCGGAGTCAAAATGATGGGCTACGCCTTTCCCTTCCCTAAAAGGGTGGCGAGGTCGTGCGAAAATTTGTAACCTGCTAAGACGGATGGTGTAACCCCGGTAACTTCCTTATTACAACAGGTATTCGCAAAATTTTTGCAGTGGCATGTAAGAAAAGTGCACGTATTTTTCTTTACAATAATTTTTGCACTTCGGGGTTGACGATATAACACACAGGCACAAACTTTCAACAAATTCATTTCAGAGCAGAGTGACCTCCTGAGTGATCTGGAGAAAAGAGAAAAGTGCACAAAGTATAAAAAGAGTCATCCTGCTCTGAAATAGATTTGTTTGCACCCTGTGTGTTATGTTGTCTCTTCTCTTTATGTCCACTGAGACTAAACCTGCAGCTTTAGTGTGAACAAGCTGTGCGCAATGCTTGCAAGGGTTTTACCCCCATTGACTGTGCTTGGAAACGTTTGTGTGCTGGCCAAAGTGTGAGCAACTTCTTACTGGTTTTGTGATCAACTTCTTGTAAGACTTGCTGAATTTGTCTTGGGCTGTGTGTTGCAGTTTTGATTATAAAAATGACATTATTGCACACTATACATGGTTTATGTCATGCTTTGTAAGATGGAAAAGTTCGAAGAGGAGGTTTTTTCAAGTGTTGGTGACTGGAAAAGTAATTTGTTTATACTCCATCTCAGCACTACCAAGGCCATGCTGTGTAAGCTTGCTTCATGCTTGTGCAGCAAAACATAGTTCCAGTTGTAATTATGTTGGAATTTTCAGGGTTTAGAGATATGTGCTGGTGACGTGCTACATCACATCGATGCCTGCTATGTTTATTCTTCCTTTGCGTTGATGTTGTGTGCCTTTAATTGCTGCATCATTAACTGCTGGTAACATTAGTTACAACATGGCAGCACTTGTGCAGCCACAACCACCAGCTTCAGTACGAACTTGTGCTTGCTTTTCGCCCATTGTGCTGGTAGCAACAAATAAATGGTGAAAATTAGCCGTCGCTTCATGTCTTTTTCACGCTCAAGACAAAACATCGGGTACATTTTGCTGTTACCATGCCCGCTAAGCCTAAGGATCTGATAATTTGACGATGGTTTCTTGGAATGAATGTACTATAATCACAAATGCACGGCTACTGAAGCATCTGCACATTTATCTAAAGCAAATACAAGCGTCAGTTTGCTACTTTCAGGCCACACTGTGCACTATGACGACTTGAGAAATTCGTAGTGGGCGCCAGCTGGGACGGGAGCAGCCATATTTTTGTTATTCAATGCCATCTGTTCACTTTATTCGCTCTGACCGTGAAAGCATGCTATGCAGATGCCATGCAGATGCAGAGGAAACGATGCAGGGGAGGTGAATAATGTGGAGGGGCTAGTCATCCTTTCTATTGGCTAAGAGGCTCATGGCCTTTGCAGGACTGAAATGAACTTCTGAGATGGAGTATAAGTGTCCAGCATAGCATGGTGTGTGCATGTGTGTGTCTCCTGTGTGTGTGTGTCACCTGTATGTGTCACCTGTGTGTCACCTGTTCTCTCTTTCTTTCTTTATCCAGTTTGGTGTTCTGACCTACATTGAACCGAGGCTTGGTAGAAAATTGAGTCAGCCGCTTATTAACATAATACGCAGGTAACGGCCACTGCATCAACACACGGGAATCACTTAGCATGTCTCGCTGCCCGGCAGTAGTATCGCTGCATCGTGGCTTTTTGCACATGCATCTGCTTTGCTGCTTTTTTTTTGTTTGTCTCTACGTTACCCATTTCCCTATTTTTTTTTGTGACAAGCATGATTCATGCCTAATAAATGGCTTGATGTTTGCTCAATCAGACTATCTATTGATTGTGGTCAGACGTGACACAATATTGTCATAGTTTTCTACAATACTTGCTACAGGGGACTCTCGGGCTGCGATCATTCGACCACCATGGGAATGATGAGTACACGAATTCGCCTAATCTTCCCGCGAGTGGCTTCGAATGCACTTTTGATTTTGTTAAATGATGTGTTTTGGGGCTTGTTTCAAATAAAAGAACAGATCGCTGTGTACTTCGTGAGCTGATTTGAATTGTTGAGCCTAGAAAGGCCCGGCTGCTGAAATGAAAATGATGACCATTAGCTGTACTTCGTCTTGCATCAGAGTGGCTCCAAGCCACACGAATCCATGTACTTCCCACGATTCCAATGCTGGCTCAAGTGTAATGCATTGCAGCCCTCACAGGCACGACGATAGTTATAGCGTAAGAACAAAACGACGACAAAGAGACAAGAAGGACACGAGGCGTTTATCGCTTCTGTTCTTAGACTATCCTGCGGACCAATAGGGCAGAGCAGAGGCAAGGACAGGATCTGAGCAACACGGATACAGAGTGTGAAAGGATAGCCGTTGTTCCGTACAAACACCAGATATCACACAGGCTCAAGAAAATCGGAAAACGTGCGGGAGTTCGCGTGCTGTTCTCTGCACCGTTCAAATTAATCAGTCTCACCAAATCTACAAACCCCCTGAAAACGCAGTCATCAGCTGAATGTAGAATTAAGCATAGAAACAGGTATGTGGCATACTCCAGGGAAGTTTTCTATAGGACTCCCCTTTCCTGCGGTGCTTGTTATGTCGGAACGACCGAAAGGTGTCTGAACGATCGACTGAGAGAACACGCTAACAATGTTAGAAACGGGAAAGATGGTTTTCTTGCTCAGCACTGCACTGAGTGCAACTGTGTGCCCCTTTTCAAGGACACAGCGACGCTGTTTAAGCACAGGGATGAGCCCACCCGAGTTATCGTCAAGGTCGCGCAGATGGCACGCGAACACGTATCACGCATTAGCAAGTCCTTCGTGTCTCTGGCCAAAAAGGAACTAAGGTTCCTTTAAGGTTTCGGTGTGCACAAGTATTTATATTACTTTTTTGTTTCGTTTCCTTAAAGACTTTTCTTTGCCTTTTTCTGTGGTTTTGTTTTTTTTCCCTAACTGATGCACTGCTCTTTGTGCCACATGGTTTTTGTTACTTGGTTTACTATCTTCTCTATATGTTTTCACGCTCTGCGCAATAAACTCAGTTGGATAGTGCTCGTGTTCTTGTCTCTTCGTCATCGCTTTGTTCTCGCGCTATAACTATCGTCATGTCATACCAACTAGCCCAAACTGCCACACTTCTCGCGGACAATAGCGAGGGATTTCCCTCTGGTTTATTGCTAAGAAACTCAATAATTATTGTGATATTAGGGCACCAGGGCACCTTCCTGAGCTTGTTTTGTTTGAGATGCTGTGGCAGCATGCAGTGTGGATTGGCTTTTCCAGTCACCATTTTTCAAAAATGAAGCATTACAAGGCCTTTCACAGTGCTGTTTTCAGTTCTAGAAGAACTTGATTTTGTGCGAGCTGGTGCCTAAATTTGCAAAACGCATTACTTTTGGGGCAGTGTTAAAAACATGAAAAAGGGCAGAGGGTCGTTTCAGTTTTCTCTGCGTGGTGGATGAAGAGAATGAGACCATAGTGGCTATCATTGTTGTGAATGGCCCTGTGGTGCCCTGCTCTGGTGACCAGTGCTGGAGCCAAGTGTGTCGTGCCTATCTCCTTTTGCAGTTTGGTGCCCTCACCCCACTTGAACCTAGGCTGGGGAAAAAGTTGATCGAGCCTCTAACTAACTTAATCCACAGGTAACCAAGGCTCCTGTTTGTTTTTTATTTCAGCTCTAAGGCTGGCAAACTAGCAGCCATAATTCACTGCTTAATTTCTTCATTTCTTTTAATTTGCATAATTTGAGCCTGCCCTGGGCTGTCACGTTAGTTGAGCTTGCTGGCCAACAATGCATGTGGTGCCACTCTTTGAGAAAACTGCAGGAACGAGAAGACGAGACCGCACGCTTAAATATGCTGCATGAACACACCAGCATTGTATTCTGTAGAGTAGAAGCATCAATCGGTGCCCGTGATCTGAAATGATTGCAATAAGGTGACAGTATCACTTTTGGTAACGTAGAATCTGATGAGCTCAGTGACTTGCCAGTGCCCTGTTGCACTCGTCATTGGCTTACTGCACTGTTGTAGAGCGACCCAAGTGTGGCGTTCTCAAGTATACACTGCCTTCCACACAATGGCTAGGCTTGGCTGTTACTACTTGAAACAGAGAACTAGCAGACAATGATGCCAAGGAAAGCATAAGGCGGATGCTACCTGATGTAAATGTGGAGAAAGAAAGGTGTATGAAAAGATAACTTGCTGTCGGCTGGGACCGAACTTGCAATCTTATTGGACGCGCTATTCGAAGGTCTCTGGTTCGGTTGCCTGTGGTGCGCTATCTTTTTGTCCACCTTTCTTTCTCCACAAATACATTATAGTTACTTCTATAACACTCTTTGTACTTAGCATTATTGTCTGCTAGTTCTCATTAATATTGTGTTTCTGTAACATAGAAAGCGAGCCCACAATTTTACATTTATTTCCTTCAAAATGTTGAAAGTGCTTTCAGTGTGTTTTGTGCTATAATTTAGAGCACAGTACAGTTAAACCTGTATATAAATAAATTGGCTACTTGTTAAAAAAGTTCATTATAAAGAGGATTTTGCTATATGCAGGTTCTGTACGAAAATTTCAAAAATAAACACACAAATTAATTTAAGGGGGACCAAAAGGCAGAGCTTACTTTACCTAAAACACGTGGGAAGAAACTGTGTTAATAATGTGATAGCAATTATATGAATTCTCTTGATGTGTTTTTGTTGTCGCCGTCATGTTTCCTAACAAGTCCAAATTAATAACTTTCCCCCGCGCATCGTAACGTTTATGAGCGGGTAAAAGCGCGCAAGCACTGCTGAAGCAGAGATCAAATGAGCCGGTCCATCTCTATTTTCAGGAGGGTGCATTCGCTAACATCCCCCCTGCGTGTTAAAACTGCTGTTGAATGCTCAATCCGGTTCGTTGACGGCGCGTGCTGTCCTGACAAAAATCAGTGCGTTTCAATGTGAGGAGACTGCGTGAAAAGAGCACTTCTCCCTGGAGCAGCTGTACTTGCTTGCACCAGCGTTTTGTATGAGTTCCGCGATATTTCATCCAAAACAGTTGACTGCCAGCCTTATACTTTGTATAGCATTAAAATTTGTTGCTCTGGCATTCATTGCATCGCATTCAATGTGCCGTCGTGTGGTTGCAAGAACTAACGATGAAAACGGAAACATGTGACGAGGCAACCTCTGAAGATTCGTCGTTGTCACTGTGCTCTTGGAAAATTTCAATCAGCGCCTAATCTGGAATCCTTTTCGATAGTGATGATGCAGTTTTCCACATTAAAAAAAAAGCACTTGGCAAAAAAAGAGCAAAAAAGCAAAGTTGTTGGGGGCCTTACCATGCATGCGCAGTGAAACCATCGACACAAGCAGAGCGAATGACACGGATACCGGGAAAAACTATTCGGTAAAGCGGCCTCTATATCCAGCACGGCCCCACACACGTTATGCTAACTAAAGGCAGGACACTGTCAACACAAAAGCAGTTTTCTTTATTTTTCTCTTTTATTGGTTCGGAGGAGGAGGGCACAGCCGCGCATGTAGCGCTGACCTTCATTAAAAAGGCTGAACGACGCATTCCCGCTCACTCATGAGGGCGCTTGTGAAGCCACCGGAAGATCCCTTCGGTGTGCCGGAAGCTGGCATCTTCTGTGCATTTTAGGTGTGTGATTGATATACTATCTGTTGGCAGTTGTTGTGATCGTAATTTTTTGTGTTTTCCTTTCATAACATTTTCGCGGTCATCCAACGCTACACGAAAAGTGACGGACGCTGTAGCGACGCTGTCTGAAACGGCGGGGTGCTGTGATTTTCAACTAGTGCATGCAGCAAACCCTAAGATTAGGCATCACTCGGAACACCGACTAATGATACACGAAAAATGACAGCTCTGTAGCGACGTCGTTCGAATATGGCACAGTGCTGTTACGTACAATGTTACAATTACTCGTTAGTCAGGCGACGAAAAAAAAACATTGTCCCACCATTAAAAAAAAAGGAATGAGTGCACTGGTAGCCAGGAGCACGAAGGTTTGTGTTTTGTGATTGATCCGGGAAAGAAAACAATGTTGGGATGACGTCGTTTCGAAGATGAGTTTTTGGAACCGAGGGGTCGACACATGACTCTGCAAAGTGGTCCCCGCAAAGTCTGCTTCTTGGAGGCAGCGTCCAGTTGTCCTTCTTGAGTTACTGACCCACTTCTCGTATATCTGAGGCTTCGAGTGTGAGAAACTGCATATAAAAAAACCTACCACCTTAAATGTGCCTCGATAAAAAATAGGTGTTCAAATACCATATTTTTCTCGCAGAATGCGTAAAATGGAATATAGTTTTGAAGTAATTATGTGTAAAATATCTTTGCGACAACATTTCCAGTGGATTGGTAAAGTTCAGGGCTCTGTACAGGCCAGTATTGCATTAAAAAGAAGAGAAAAGCCCTCGCGCCTGCAGCAGACATGGCGGTGGCTTCCGGGACACCAATGGAGCCTTCCGGTACCTTCAACCACGCGCGCTCAATGCACCATTCAGCTACCCCTAGTAGAGATCAGTGGCATGTAGCGTAGCAGCAAGAACTGCAGGAACACCGGCCATTAATGTGCAGGCCGCCTGCCCGACTTGCGCACACTCAGGCGCAATAACAAGCGTTCACTCTCGCCTGGGTGGTGGTGCAACATGCATGCTCGTGCCAAAATGACAAAATCTGGGGCAAAATTTTTAGATTGCCTGGGGTGAAAATTTGTTATATCGAGGTTGTCTTCCACAGTTACTTTGTTACATAAAGGTTGCAAATACATGTGCTTCTTTTAAGTAACGGCGGGGAATAGAACAAGTGAAAAAACAAACAGCACGAAAAACGAGAGAGCAGACGAAGAAATACACATACAGAGCGCTGACTTACAACAAAAACTTTATTCTTCAAACCTTGCATATATACCTATGCAGTGGAACAAAAAAAAAAAAAGGGAGAAACAAAAGGGATAGTTGAAGAAAAATCATAAAATCATTCTCATAGCTCGTGCAATCACCCAGATAAAAAGACAACTTCCTTTTCTTGGAGGGCAGCCGAAGGCCTGCTCACGCATGCGTCTCCCAACCTAGCTATCTCCAGGACTCCAGTACTATTTCACAAGTATGCTAGAAATAGAAAAACTTCGTTATATCGAGAAATTTGTTGAGCAGGTTTAACTCTACCACATTTAAAAAATGTTGCTTTGTGTGAAATGTATTTTTGTTGAGAGTGTAATGCTCTGTACTCGGTGTGTTCAGTGGTAGCGTGCCACTGCAGCGTCATCGCATCAACATCCCGACATTTGACCACCCAACGATAAGTCATGCGTGCAAAGCATGGTTCATTTTCCTACAATGTTCAAACCACTAAAAAATACGTCAGCTAAAAAACAAGGACTGAAAACACATGAAGCTAGTGCTTGCCTAAAGTTTCAGAGTAAAAATTCTGTGCACAACCACTCCACAAAGTCTTGAATACTAGAAGCTACTTTGACTGAAATGCTGGGACGCTGGTCAGGTGTGTTTGTTTATTCCTGGCGTGTCAAAGAGCTATATCACATTAGCAAAAATACGAGATGGCGCTCGCACCTATTTGGTTTCTCTTAATAGCTGAATAATGTGTGCTGCATGCGACATATTTATGACTGTCTCCTTTTGCGATCATTTCAGAATATGACCTCTGTACAGGGCAGTGTTCACAATTACCATCCAGGATGGAAATACGCGAGGGAACACAATATCACCTTTGCTTCTCTGTGCATAATTCAATAGCTGTACTTTGGTGGACCAGATCATAGTGTGGCACATAAGAATATCATGTTTCACATCCTTTCGTAGCTGTGATGGTTTGCACATTGTTATCCATTAAAGGTATCGTTTAGTATTTTAGGAATCATGTGATATGCAAGGTGGTGCTATCCTGGCTTCCCAACTTACTCTTGAGACCACTGATAATTGGCTATTGCTAGCTTCTTTAAAGAGGTACTGACATGAAAATTCTCATTGGTCATTTTTTTGCATCAAATGGGAGGCTAAGCCCTTGAGAGCCCAGAAAACTAGCTGATAAGCGTAAGTGCACCCTGAGTAAGAACCTAAAGTAAAACCTCATCAATTCAAACCCTCTTATTTAGAAATCCCGCCTAATTATAAGCATTTAGACGGTTCTGTATTTTGCAATGTAAGTTTGAGCAGATAATTTGAAGTGACGGCCAGCACTAGTCCCGTCGATTTGAAAACTTAGGGTGCAGTGTGCCGATTCTTGATCCCGGTTTCGCCGCAAAACCGCGGGAACGACAGCTAGAGCTACCAGGCAATGTACTGTAGTGATACTAATAAATGGCAGCTGAAGCATGCCAACCTCGATACTTCCAGGTTAAAAGATTCTTTCTGGGAATATGAAGAAATAAATGAAGGACAGTCTCGAGGAATTCGGGATATATGCGAACCTCATAGTGCTGGCTGAATATCCGCACTTGCACACTTGGCAGAGTTCTTGCCTAAAATGCCGACATTGAAAACTCTGTTCGAAAGCTTCAAGCATCATGTTTTACAAGCAAGACACATCGCGAATTTTGTCCCACTATCATTATTACATCCTTTATTTTCCTGGAAAAAATGGGCGAATGGTTGCATCATGACTTGATGACACAGCTAGGGGCAGGCGGCATGTTGCGTGTGTGTCGCTACTGTGTTGCAGTGAAGATTTCTAATTTTTCGCAAATGCGCATTGCAGTTGACCATGACTTTTTTTTTTTTTCTTTGCGGTGTCAGCAGTGAGACTCCTTTGTGTGCGGTGAAACTGGCACAGAAAATGACCAGCCCTGATGAGTTTGATAAGCCTTTGTATGTTTCGTAAATTCGAAAACCCTCTTAACTCAAAGATTTCTCACGGTCCCAGGGACTTCGAATTACAAGGTTTTACTGTACATCGTTTTAAAAGGTAGTTTCAGTTTTAACTGTACCCTGGCGTCGCAACGGATCATGAGCTTCCTGCGACTTTGTACCTGACCAGTTCCCAGCTAGCAAGACTGCTGCAAAAAGTCATCGGAATTCGTACTGTAGCCCAACTTTAAGCTAGTTTTGATAAGTAGGTGCGCCACAAGAAAAAGTGACTTGAATATGAAAGTAAAATATCTCACCAGCATTATCTGATTTCACACTTGTCTTTCTATTTCGTATTGTAGAGTAAAATCACTTTGTATCAATGGTCATTACTTGCAGCTTCCTTTGCAGCCATTGACAACCCACACAAGGGCGGTCAAGTATTGTCAGCGTGAAATGAAACCCGAACAGTGGCAAACCTTCGCGATGGTATAATTGTCAAGTTATCATCATCGGCAGCTATGCGCATATATGTGTGCCTGTCCATGGTATAAGTGGAAGGCGGGCACTGTACCATCACGAAACCTTGCCAGTCACTGTTCATTTGGCGCTGGTAGTACATTACCAACTATTGCGGCTGCATTTTGACTGCTGTGAGACACACCTGTGTGTAGAGGCAAGTTGAAATTCTCTGATGGTCAGAAGTAACCCACACTACGACATGCCTTGTGAACCTTTCACAATTCCTGTAATTTGACCAGGCCGTGTCAGCACATACCTTTCTCATTTTTGTGAGATCATTCAAGGGTGCTTTTGTTCAAGGTTTCTAGAATTTGGTCAGATTTGATATAGTTACGAGAAGTTTGTCAGTGCGAGGCATTTATTGACATTTAAATTATAAGTTTTAATAATTGCCTGCTCATTTCAGCACCTCTGCAATGTCCCTGCTCTATGAGTGCATCAACACAGTCATAGCAGGTGAGTGGGATATTAGTGTGACCCTGCTGCATCCCAGCTTTCATGAGTTTGAAGTTTGCACTTGTTAAACAACATTGCTGGTGGATGAGACTGTTCAGTCGTAACGAGCTTGAAATGGTCGCCATTTCAACAAAGAGGCATGTTTGTGTTGTGTTGGGACCAGTGCTGATTTTTCTATGTTTGGAGCACTTTAGGAGTTCGGCTTGTGGTCTATTCAGTACAGGCTATCAGTGCTTAAAACCTGTTTAATAGGTCTAAAATTATACAACAGAGATAACAAAGGAGTAATAACAAAACTTAAAATTAGGGTTGTGCAAATACTCAACACAATAATTTTTACTATTGAACAATTCGAACGTTCCAGCTGCAGTCAACATCTGAGTGAAAATGACCACTTCAGATCTTTATTATCTTCCACCTCATTTTATTCTCGTATTGCAGCAAAACTGCGTTAAACTCTGTTACGATCGAATTTTCAAATACAGTCGAAGCTGAATAAATATGACCCCCTTCAGATTTTTTTTCTATGCTTCACTTTATTATATTCTCGTATTGCAGCAAACCTGCCTTTCAGGCTCTGCTGCAGCCGAATTCTTCGAAAACAGTCAAATTGAAAAAAGCCCTTTTAGACTTTCGAATGCTTCACCTCGTCACATGACTGTATTAGAAAGTTTTAGTCTAGCGCGCGCAACCGCCTAGCGCACGCATCACCCGAAAGGGAGCACAGCTGCGCATGCGCTGTACGTAAGAGAGATGCGTGCGTTGGCACACGCGAAGGATGTGTACATTGGATTTCGGCTCCTACGTAGTGCACGCTACAGCCGTTGGGTACCTTAGCAGTGGCTCTTGTGAGATCTCCCCTTGGTGAGAGCACGAAAATCAATATGGTCACGACCAACTGCAGCAAAAGCAGCAGTGTGGTCATGGCTGCGAGTAAATCTTGCGTGCATTTTACAATTGCCCTCGATATGGAGCTCCTTGCTTACGTGAGGAGCTTAAATTCGTTCACGTACCCTGTGCAATGCACAGTGATCACTGTGAAAATACAGGAGCTGAGGGGGATGCCTTTCAACGCCCGGAAGGTCCGCAATTTTATGTCTTGACTTGTGTAAACTATGGTTGGCTATTGTAGTTTATTGGCTAGTCACTAGGTGGCATCACTTAGCACTCCAAGATGAAAGTGTTGACGCTTGGGCGCAGTCCATGTGTCTGTTGTCGCCTAAGATAAACTAATACTGTAGGAAGCAGCCTCAGCTGCAACGTACGTAGCGCGCTAGTCATTGCGCACGTACCGCCTTGCGCCGCTTAACTAAAACTCTTTATTGCAGCAAAGCTGTCTTTCAGGGTCTGCTATGGACGCTAATGTATTGACTCGAAAAAACGTTGGCTCTGACATTAAGATTGTAGAAATGGCAGAGGTGGAGGCTCAATTGATGTTGTTTTGGACCTAACATTTGGTCAGGAAGTGAGAAAAGTTGGACGCTAGAGATTTTCAGCATCCAGAATTTAGAATTTTATGTTTGATATCTATGAGGTATACTTGGAACTTCTAACTCAAAGGGAGCACAACCTTGTCTGCCTCATCATTTAGGCTTGAAAGGAGGAAGGCGAGGAGAGGCTGAGGAAATAGCATCCTTTGCCTTTCTCATGTTGCTTGCACGAAATCATGCACTAATACAGTTCGGCCTCGGCGTTGCCTCATTCTTTATAAAAATATGAAATACCGGCCTGCCGGCACTTCATCGTCTTAACGAAAGAAATGCTTTCATGTTGCGATATCTCATGAAAATGGGCTTAGGAATGCTCTCCAACTTGTTTCCCCACAATTTCATTTCGAACTATTTAAAAAATATTTGATTGGGTTCGCATTTACTGTTCAAGTTCGTGGAAGTACTTTGCGCAGAACACGTGGGGAGGAAGAAAGGACACAAACAAAGTGCAATCGAACAACTAAATTACTTTTGAAGAAAACTTTGATTATCATATTGTGCTTGTCCGTGTGTCTCCTTTCTTCGTCCTCGTGTGTTCCGCGCAAAGTATTTTTATGAATTCATTCCAACTAGGCTGGCTAGCAATTTTGCTTCGATATTCGAATTCACTTCGCAACCTAAATTTTGCTATGTGCACGACTCCGCTTAAAATCGCTTCAAAATATTTTTGAAACCTGTGGCTGACTTCGGAATTGTGCTAGAAAGGGCACCATCCCCTATGTTGGATGGGTGAAACAACCTGATGGAACTTGCAGCAGACGACACATATCTGAATTGAGCAGAAAGCCTTTCATAAAGCGCAGCAAAAAGTCCCATGGCCAGTATGCAAACATCCCCAACGAGATACCACTCGTGACACGAAAACATCACATGCTTTCCTCTAACATTGGAGGTGTCGACGTTTTGGTGAATGGAGCAAGAATCGCTGGGTGCCCGGGCTGTGCACTTCCTCAGGTTTCACAATAGAGCTGTTGCATGTCTTTCTTTTGTTTGTTGCTTTGCGAGAATTGGTGGTGAGCTGTGTTTCTGCAGGATTTGTCTTTACGTAGTCCTTACGGTTTATTGCATTGCAAGGCGCAATGGGCATAAGATAACTATTTGTGTAAATGTAGTGTCCTGCTTTGATGAATGGTTGTCGTTACTTGTTAGAGGACGTCTAGGCAATGTGCTTTCTTGTGATATGCTTCCATGAGTCTATTTACGAGTGAAAGATGCAGCACTTTCCTACTTGGCTACCTACATACTTGGCAATAATAAAAAACTTTTCTTGATTTACAATTTATATTTGTAGACATTCGCTTTTGACAGCCATTTTGCTTTTATCACTGTAGAGACTATTAGTGCATTTTTTCTATAGTGGAGAGCAATGCAGGTGGTAATATGGGCTTGCGAACAACACCCAGGCACAAAAAAGAAAAAAAAAAAAGCCATGCATCTTGATGCACTTCTTGAAGGCTTGAAAATATATGTGCATTTGAAAATAAAGTATCTTGGGCTGATGGAAGAGATGAGTCGAACAACTGAAAACAGCTCTTTGTTGCTGTGGTTTGCAGATTGTGTTTCTAGTCAACAGAATGAATGGCCGGCTAATGCTTGTATCTGCAGCATATATGTGAAACTTCTGCATTGTATACTGGCTCGGCAGTAAACTGGCTAGTTGACTTGTATAACTTTTTTGTGTCCTATCACATCATCTGTATGTTTCCTTGCAAATATGCAAAAGATCAGACAGCAGTGGCTTTTGTCAGCTCTCGGGCCCAGGGATCTTCTGCAGGTTGATGTAATGAAAGGTCACTTAATCTGGTTTCCTACTTCCTCTTGAAAATATTGCCCGAACTGTAATACTGTTCTTGTGAAATCAAGAAAGCCCTAGTGAAGCAGTTTACTGGGGTGGAAATGCTGGGCCAAATGCGCTGAAACAGCTGTCAGGCATTGTTTGGGGCATTCATGTGCGGCTGTCATACACAACGAGCCATGCATCTTGATGCACTTCTTGAAGGCTTGAAAATATATGTGCATTTGAAAATAAAGTATCTTGGGCTGATGGAAGAGATGAGTCAAACAACTGAAAACAGCTCTTTGTTGCTGTGGTTTGCAGATTGTGTTTCTAGTCAACAGAATGAATGGCCGGCGAATGCTTGTATCTGCAGCATATATGTGAAACTTCTGCATTGTATACTGGCTCGGCAGTAAACTGGCTAGTTGACTTGTATGACTTTTTTGTGTCCTATCACATCATCTGTATGTTTCCTTGCAAATATGCAAAAGATCAGACAGCAGTGGCTTTTGTCAGCTCTCGGGCCCAGGGATCTTCTGCAGGTTGATGTAATGAAAGGTCACTTATTCTGGTTTCCTACTTCCTCTTGAAAATACTGCCCGAACTGTAATACTGTTCTTGTGAAATCAAGAAAGCCCTAGTGAAGCAGTTTACTGGGGTGGAAGTGCTGGGCCAAATGCGCCGAAACAGCTGTCAGGCATTGTTTGGGGCATTCATGTGCGGCTGTCATACACAACGAGGCATGCCCAAGCAAGCTCCTGTGATCGTTATCATCTGACGTGCTCTCCACGACGTTGATGATGATGCAAAACAATCAAGCAATGAATGTGATAGCAATAAATTGTAATGTTATACTAAGAGCTAACAGCTAACTCTTTTCAATTCGAACGCGTCAATTTGCAAGGTGAAGGGAATACGACTACTCCAGGAAAGGAAGTGGTTTTTCTGTTTTTCATGTGAACACAAAGTGGGCCTTTCACTGATGTCAGGGCTGGGCAGTATCAAAGATACGTTTTTCCGAGATACTGTTATATCCCTTTCAGCCCTGGATTTTTTATTTTGGTCGGATACACGTTTTGTGCGCGTTTTTCTCGTAGTTAGGATCTCAGAAGACCAGAAACAAAAAATTGAGCCACTGGTGCAAGCACTTTCGGATTAATTGACGTGACATCAAATTAGGTAATTAGGGCCCAGCGATTAGAAAAAGAAAAAAATGGTTTCTTTTTTGCTGCCAATCAATGGTGTACACAAAATGAAAACAAACGTCCTACTTTTCAGCCTAATAGTCACTGATACAGCTTCGGTACGTCGTCCCAAAAATGGCGCTTACCCTCCTCAACTTGCGCGCCTCGGCTTCATGGAAGACCTTGGTCGCGCTTCTTCTTCTTTGTGGCTGCTACCTCGACAAACGTGACGCATTATTGGTGTCAATTGCAGTGGGGATCATTGAAAAATTATGCCCCCAAGAATGAGAGGTATTGGTTACGTTTCCGAGATACCAGGGCAAATGTTATGCGGTGGTGTCAATTGACACCGCCAGGGCCGAAAGGGATATATATTCTTTGGGTATCTTGTATCTGTATTTTCAATTAATTCAATAATGTATTATGTATCTTAAGATATAAGATACTGTTATCGCAGCACTACAGTGTGAAACAAAAATCTCCGACTTTATTCTGCATCTCTATTCTGCATCTCAAGCTGGTGCTGGTGGCGCACTGCCGGGCAGTGAC